AAGGAAAACAATGTAGCTGACGCACTTTCTCGTATAAAACTGGACGATGAAGGAAATGAACTTAAATGCGCTGTGTTGACTTCAAAAATTTTAGATTCTAGAGATACGGTTATTACTGAACTGAAAGCTGATCCTGAATTTGGAAATATCTATGCTTATTTGAAAGACCCCGAAAGCTTTGAGCATACAGATATCGATGCGATAAGAAATAGAGCAAAAAACTATGAAATAATAGATAATTTATTATTCTATACGAAAACAACAAACGAAAATCTTGAGTATAAGCCAGTCATCCCAGCCTCGCTTCGATTAAGCATTTTGAAGGAGTTGCACGAAGAAAAAACAGCGGGCCACCTCGGGGTCAGAAAGACTATTAAAAAGGGTACGCGAGGCGGTATATTTCCCGCAATTATACAAAATAGTAACGGCGTATGTCAGGTCCTGCAATCAATGTCAGTTAATAAATGATATTAATTACAGCCCGGCCGGGTACTTAAATAGCATTCGCGCTACATTTCCGAATGAAATTTTAGGCATAGATCTTCCTTGGTCCCTTCCCCCCCAGAGCGAGTTAAATAAAAATCGTTTTCTTTTAGTAATAGTAGATCATTTTTCAAAATGGATAGAAATTGTTCCACTTAAACGCGCGTCAGCCAAAACAGTCGCAGATGCATTCTTACACAGATACATTTTAAAATACGGTGCACCGATAAAAGTCATTAGCGATAACGGAAAACAATTCATTAGTCAAATATTTGAAAACATATGCAATGGACTTGGCATACGCCATATCAAAATGGTTCCGTATAGACCACAGGCTAACATAGCAGAAAGAGTTAATAAAAACATAGTAAAAATAATTCGCAGTTACGTGAGCACACATCACAAGCGCTGGGATGGCTACATAAATGAATTAGCTTATGCTTTAAGAACGGCACATCATCATGATACTACGGGAAAAACTCCAGCTCCAGCAGAATTATTTTTAGGCAGAAAGTTAATTACGCCTTTAGATAAATTATTCTTTGTGCAACAAAGAGAGCAGGAGTTTAAACAAAAAGATGTGCAAAAGTTGATTGATCAGGCGCTTAAAACCTCGGATACGGCAAGAAATAGGCAGAAAATATATTACGATAGAAAACGCCGTGAAGCAGATTTTAAAGTTGGGGATAAAGTATTGAAGCGGAAATTTTCTTTATCAAGTGCCCCAGACAATTTTATGGCAAAGCTAGCTCCAAAGTTTGAAGGCCCCTATGTAATTCAGGAAATCAAAGGAGTAGTCTTATATCTTAAGAACGAGAGAGGGGAAATCTGTAAAGCAAGTCCCGACCAGGTGAAAAAATACTATAATCCAAATGATTTTGAAATCCTTAAAAGTTTCTTGCAGGACTCAAGTCTAAACGAAATAGAAGGGCCAGAGACTACAACAACTATTCCACCACCCAAGAAACAGAGAACTGAAGAGAGACCTAGCACTTCTACAACCCGGACGTCGGTATCAAAAAGAAAAAATAATTTTCAAACTCCAGCGTTTAAGAAAAACAAAAATACAGATGAACCGGGTAAAGAAACCGTGGTAAAGACGAAAACACCACCTACAAAGGATGGCAGGAGAAATTACACATCAAGGAGAACGCGCACACGGCCACAGAGTCAGGTGCCAGCAAGGCCGCCGTTCCGGAAACTGAAACGCCAACAGGAGGCACAAAAATACGAGGAACAGAAGAAATTCAAGAAGGACGTCCAGACCAGCCGTCCCAGGCAGAAACGGAAAGGCCAACAACCAGACGATTACTCCGTCAAGAGGCCAGCATGTAGAGGACGCAAAAGAAAAAGCAACGTGGACGACACTCGGAGATCAATAAGGAGAAGATTGACATCCATGAAACCTCTAACTTGGGATCAATTTTGCCAAAAACGGATGACGGAGTTTCAAGCATCGAAAACTCAAAGATAAGTTAAAACCTTCTATAAATTTTTTTTCTCTTTTGTTCCGAAATGTTATGCATAAGTACGAAGTTCTATGTTTTGACGAAAGTCAATATGTCTCGGTTGAGACTTAGTTTTGTTTTACTTTATTTAGCTAAGGCAAAAGTATTATTTTCTTTAAGTGTAAAAGCTAAAAACAAGCATTTTCTGTTGGTCGAAAGACTAATTCTGTTATGTTAAAGCCAAAATTTGGCCGAAGATAAAAAATAACTTCGTATTCTTGTACTAATAAGAATTTTAGTTTCAGTGCCGCCAGCTTGGCGAAGAATGAGTAAAGTAAAAATTTATTTTCTCTTATTCATTTTATGGTAAATTGTAAAAATCATATGTATTAAAATTTTGTAAATGTATGTAAATACTTGAATGTTATGTAAAAGTAGAATTTAGTCTAGAAGCATAAAATTGTAGATGCTAAAAGTGAATGCTTAAAAGCAATGAAGTCAAAATTTAAGTATTAAACTGTAAAGTCATGCTTTAGAGCGAAAGCCTGCATGTTTAAAGATGAATGAGGGGGAAGTTAGAATGAATGTGTTTTTTGTAGGGTTCTCCACCTACATTTGAATTTTTAAGAATATTAAAGTAGCTCATTGAGTTGTAGAATGTCGAGTAAGGTGTGTCTATTTGGTCGTTGAATTCTAACAAATCATGGTGGTTAGGGGAAGTGTTGTAAGACTAAAACACGAATATTCCCGTTTGACACCACACACACGGTGGAGAGCCAGGGTAAAGTTAAATTAATGCTTGAAAAATTGAATGAATGTGAAGTAAGCAATAACTAAGAAAAACGAATCGTTTAAAAACAAAAATTTATTGTGTCAAGAAAGTGTAAATTATAATGTATGTAGAAAGATACTGATACTTATTCCTTCCAGATGCTGGAAGGAAAGACCAAGATTGATTGATGAAGTCCAGGAAAAGTTGCTGTAAGAAGAGAAGCTTTGTAACGAGCAACAGAATTTTAGTATACAAATTGTTACATAAGATTTTTTTTTTTGTGTAAACGAGGTTTTCTCGCCAGTTAGTTCAGAATTAGATAAACTTACAACAGGTCGTTTGTAGGACCTGCTTCCAAGTTTTCCAAATTCTGGCAGCGGCAAATGTAGGGTTTATATTTATTTTAACTAACATTTATTTTAAGTTTAAACTATCTTTCCTGTCAAGCCTTACTTTCCCCTGGAACTGCCAATGCCAGAATATGTAAATTTTAGTAGAACGCGCAAGGATTCAAATTATCAGCGGAAGTATTATGATTTAAATAGAAGAAGGAAACGAGTTCGGTGTGTGATATTCTTACTTCAGCGAGCGCGGAGGTAGTTAGCGAGAATTGAAGAACCCCGCGTTGCGGCCTATGTGCTTGGCGGGAAGTAGTGGTAATCGTTCCAGTGAGCTTCAAGTCTGCTGAATTAGCAGCGGTATTGTAAAACGCGGTGAGTTAGTTATTTTAGAGAGCCTCCTAGTTAGAATCTTGTCTTTACTTTCTTTTCAGGTTATTATTTTTATTTGACTGCCAAGTTGGCACAGTCTGTGAGCGTCAAGAGCACGCAATTGTAATTTATTACGTTGAATAAAAAGGGACTTAAACCCTTCACAAGGCTCTATCTTTTATACAAGTTTTCACAGTCACCTCTTGGTTGCGTGCAAGTTGGAGGCGCGCAACGTTATAAAGTAAAATGCATAAGGATGCCTTAGACATGTATCTTAGCCTGCTGAGGTATCATATTTTGTGGCATATAAAACCTTTCCTTAAAAAGCGCAAATGAATAACAATCTTGATTAAATAAATTAAATATTACATGCTATTCAGCGAGTCACATATGTTTAAATTTTAAAAAAATGTTTACAGAAAATTATTGGATGAAATGTGTTCAGGTATAGTATAGCTGAAAGATGCCTCATTTCAAATGGTTAATTAACCATTCACTAACAGATTTTAAATCTACATCTTTTAATATTTAGTTAACTTCCTTGCCTGTTGCTGAATACATTAAATTGTAGTTATTGCTATTTTTCAAATCATTCTGCTTGCTTTAAAACAGTGATGGCGAACCTATGGTGCATGTGCCTCAGTCAGGACATGACTAAAATATAACGTCCTTAATAAATAATCACAATAAAATGTTAATATGTAAAATTCGTGTTTTAGTCTGTTCTTGAACATTTCACTTACTTGCTTATCGCATAATGCTACTGGCATAGAGCCTGAGCCTAGATATAAGATTTTCATATATCGCCATAGAAATAATATCCATATTTATTGACCCAATTTGTAACGTTTCAATTGTTTGGGCCAATCATATTACTTGTTACTTGGCAAAGAATACGACAAAGTTGAAGCAGCTAATGTTTGCTGAACGAATTCAGATTTATTGCAAACTGCCGGTGAGTTTTAATACTTTCATTGTTAAATAGATTCCAGTTTTCTGATCTAAGCATTTTGAGGTAATTCATGAATAATTCTAATTTAATATCTTAAGTAGAATGGCACGTGGCCCCAAAAAGGTTCACCACCACTGCTTTAAAATCATATAATTATTCTTAATTTAAGTGTAAAATTTGCTTCAAAATGAAGAAAATTACTTTAAGTGTTTTATATTTCTATGTAATTATTATTAAATATTAAGTAAATTAATTAGTTTTTTTTAAATTAAGTATTTAAAAAGTAAATTCTTCTTTGGATTATTTAAAATTCTTGAAAATTTACCTTTGCTAAAATGGCAATCATAGAACATTTTAGTAAAAAATGAAATTTTATTATTAATATTTTTATATTTTATATTAATACTATGCAGTATTTAGCAAACCATTAAGTGATGTGAAATAAATTCAGAATGTCCATGTTAAATGCCCCTTTAGGCTTAATATAAAATCTGAAAGCTTTAAGATTTTTGTTTGTTTAATAATACAAGTTTCAGTTTTACAAATGGTTAAAAAATTCATTGTTCTCCAAGTGTATTTTTATCTAAATATATAATATTTTATTTAAATGTGTAATAAATTTATCATACTTTTAGGGTGATGGAACAGGTGTAATGAGCATATATGGAGCAACTACATTTGTAGATGAAAATTTTAAACTTAAACATGATGGACCTGGATTGCTTTCAATGGTAAAAATTTTTTATTTATTAGAATATTTATTTGGCAATATTTACTTATGAAATTTCTTTGGGTCTAAATACTTGTATGTTTATGAAATGGAAAATTAAAGTGAATTAAGTATTCAGTAATATATAAATAATGCTGTTTTAATGTGATAGACACAGATGTAGCGAGGTTGGCACCTGTGCATCTAGGTAGGCATATTAGGTATTGGTGGACCTTGCTAACTGCAAAGTTCTGCCCAGGATGGAATTCCAAGGGAGAATACTCCCGGTTGGACCGGGTCCTTCTGTATAGCAGTCAGCATCACTTAACCATTATCCTGTCTGGATGGCATTTTAATGTGATAATAAATCATTATCAGTGTTTATGATAAATTACAGGTATTTTAATATGACAGATTTAGGTATTTATATATTAGTTAAACCACTTTGCTGCAGTATAGTGATTTGGTACAGAAAAGAGTAGAGTAAATTATTTTATTTAAAATTATTTTTTTGCTTAGATGAATTTTTTTGTTTTTAAAATTATGTGACACACACAATGCCATCTGTCAGCGAGGCGGGGATGTCTATGGAGGGTATTTTAAGGGAAACTGGACTGTATCCATGTTACACATGGGAAAAACCATGAAAACAGCCATGCAGCCAGGCCATTCACCAGGATTCAAACCCCAGACTGAATTATTAGCATTCAGGGACTTAGCCGTTTGGTCGCTGGTATCACATGTATATTATTACTTACATATTTTGCATATTATTACATTAAAATTATTAATAAACTTGTTGGCAAACAGGGTTTCATTTCTTTTATTTTGTTTTGAAGTAATTGTTTCTTAAGAGATTTTGTGGCAAAATACTATATTCCAGCAAAATTTTTTTCCCCATTGCTGGCAGTTCTTACAGGCAAATAAAACTGAACAAAAAAGCCTACAATTTATCTACAAAATTCATTGGAACTTGAAATATAAAAAGCAGCAACAGCATTTTTGCAAATGAAATAGTAACTTGCTTGTTGAAACCAAAGAATCGTTATGCATAAGGTTGCCAGAATTAAGTGCAATTAGAAAATTCAATGATTTCTATTAAGGGTTGTTGCACTAACATTTAAGTGTGCTAATTTTTGTATTATTATTAAAAGCTGATGAAGAAATATAATTTTCATATATATTTAATGTTTTATGATATTAGAAATGAGCTAAATTTTAAATTTATTAAATGTAAATCTCAGTGCTAATGAATCTATCGAATACTTATATTGGACCAATCAATGAAAGCTTGTATTGATGGTCTAACAAATACTTACATTGGATGTCTAAGAAATTGATCTTTACAAAGTTTGAGTTAAAACATTTATTTATTTTTAAGTTAGGCTTTAAAAGGTGTGAATGGGAGAGGAAATTTTCAGATACCTGGGATTCAGTGCAGGTTCTAAAATCTGCTTCCTGATGCCTCTGTAAATTCAAAAACATTTTTCAGTCTAAATACAGAGAATGTTTGCACATTTTTTAGACGATTTTCATTATAATTTCAGATAGAAAATTTTCATTGTAATTTCAGAAATATTTTACCTAAAATTTTTGTTGCAAATGTTCTGTGTGATAACCCTTGTTCTGTACAATCTTTATACACAGTTATTTCCAAGACCGCCTTTTGAAGTATCAGAAGAGGTATCTTATCCCATTGCTCTCAAACAGCTTTCCAAAGTCTAAGGAGGTTGTAGGTTGACATTTGAACAGCCCACTTTTTAAAAGGCCAGAAGCACATGGTTGATAGGTTAGGAGATTTAGTAGGGATACGAAGGATATGGTATTGATACCATTTTTTCCAGGAAATTAACAGTAGATTTTGTCGTGTCGCTGTTTGCTTTGTCTTGATGTAGTTCTACTGATTGATCACACTGTGTGTAAAGGGAAAGTATTTTATATTTGAAAATTGGGTATAAAACATGTATTTAATAATATATGGAGTTGATCTTAGCATTTTCTCCCTTCTCTTTATTTTTAATTTGCTGATATATGAAAAACCAGCAACAATCATAAATCCCTTAGAAAAACTCTCTGTAGATTCCTTAAACCATGTTTTAAGATTTTTTTCTCCTCTTTAGTGATATTAAATAGATCTCTTTTTATTGCAATCATTTAAGTAGTACTAAGATTGTGATATCTTTCCATTTTTGTCCATATTGATGTTTCTCATTAATAATTTTGCAGTATGTTCTGCGTCCAGCGATATTTCATGGAGAAAGAAGATGCACATTATGTTTTTTGGCTTTTTTAAGATTTAAATCAGCACTAATCACTTTGTTTACAGTTGACACTAACTGTAAACAAAGTTAACTTTAATGATTTTGCAACAGTCCTGGACTAGGCAGATTTTCTTATAGCATTAAAGATCTTACTTTTAAATGATTCAGAATATTCTTTTTTTTTTTTTCCCTTGGAAATGTATAACTTGGCAGATTTTCTTATAACATTAAAGATCTTACTTTTGAAACATTCAGAATATTCCGTTTTTTCCTTGGAAATGTATTTGGAACAATTTTTCCACTTGAAGCTAATTTTGACTTTTTTATTTATTTATTTATTTTTTATAACATTACCTATCGTAGCTGTACATATCGAAAAATCATGGCCTTCACAATGTTTTTTAGTAACTAGATATGCATAATTTTCTTCAGGAAAACATAACCTTCCATCCATTGCCTCTTTAAAAGCGACATTTTGCATGAACACAAAACTGTCAAGAAGCAGGTGGCAATTTATACTTTAAAAAATATAGCTGTGGTTAGTGGGGAATATTCTGCCCCCCCTTTTTTTAAACAGCAAAACAAAATTGTCTAAAAATGTGTGAATAGTCTGTATAGTACTGCTCAGCGCTTTAACTAAATTCTGAAAATTTTGCCTCAGTGTCACTAGCCCTGTGTATAATAACAATTTACGTGAAGCAATTTATAAGTTGCTTGATTGCTGAAAGTAGAAATATTTTATACTTAATAATTTTTTTAAAGCTATAATCTTTCTTTTTTGGATCTGGACTGAGTATGTGACATAAGTTAACAAAATGTTTTATAATAAATGTTCAATATTTATATGTTTTATCTATTTGTTTAAACAGCTTATCTGATTTTTTCTCAGCTGTCAGTGTAGGTGTGATTTGAAATATAAAAGGCATTTTTACTGTAATTAATTGATTTATATTTGTCTCTTTTCTGGTGTTTCCCCAATTTTTTAGTATCATGAACTACAACTTTTATTTTGTTTTCCAAACCCTATTTCATCATATCACTATTTGCCATTTCTTTTATACTGAATCCCCGGTCATTCTTCAGACAATTCAATGCTATTTCCATGATTTCTGCATTCAGTTTCATGAGCCAATTTTCTTATCTAGTCATCAGAAACTCAATTTCAGAGCTAGTGTTATTATTATTATTATTAGTTTTTGAAGTCATGAAAATAATTCTAGATATGAGCTTTGAATTTTTCTATACTTTTTTCATCCAGTTTACTTTGAGGCACTTAATGAGAACAATTTTCTTAAGATTGACAGTATAGATACTAAAATTTGAATACTGAAATTTGAATAATTTTTATTGTATTATATATACACTTACCTAATTTGTAGTAATTATTAATTAATTAACCCGGAATTGAAATGAAAATTGGACCTGCGTAAAGGTGGCTGCCTGCACGCTTCTGAACAATGCCATATTGTTATGAGGGTGCTAATGATGAGTATCAGGCTAGAAACTAATCATCAGGTTGTTTGATCTTATTCCAGGGATATTAAAGAAAAAATTTATATTAAAAAGTGTAACATATTTTGAAATTTTAACTAGTTTTGAATATTTTTTTTTTTTTTTTTTTTTAATATTTAATATTTTCTTATGCATTTTAGGCTAATAGTGGAAAAGACACAAATGGCTGTCAGTTCTTCATTACATGTGCAAAATGTGATTTTTTGGATGGGAAACATGTTGTGTTTGGTGAGTCATGTGATTAACTCTCTCTCTCTCTCTATATATATATACAGTCAAAAGTCTTTAATCCGGACCTCAAACCTACAAACCTTCTGCGCATGTGTGTAATACCTTTACGCATGCGCATAATACATTTATGCATGCGCGTTTAATGTATAACGGTCGGTATTAGCTAAGCTAAAATTATCTAATTATCTTTTTCAGTTAATGTTGCAGATTGTGTTGTTCCTTAATCTTCGAATTGGATCCGGCTTATTATTTTTTGCAGTCTGTTAGAGCAATTTTATAAAAGTAAGCTTGAACTTTCAATTATGTCAAAAAGAATTTCCGATTCTGGAGATCTACAAAGCGAAATGAATGTTTCGATGTCCATCAAACAAAAAGTGGAATTGCTGCAAAAAATGGATAAAGGCATATTCTTTGTTTCTCTAACCATTCCGAAATCTGTTTATCAATTTCTCGCTGCTCTGTGGGGGGGGGACGTCGCATCGCGCAATGAACTGTAAGTTGATCTGTCAGCACTATCCTTATCTTTACGGCAGATGTTTTTGTTTTATTCGGCTTATAATTCCTTACTAAATGTAGTATTTCATCTCGATGTACTCCATCTTTGATATGATTTAAATCAAATTCCTCTTCATTATAAATACATATCAAATAGTTTTCTGATTGCAATTTTCTAGTTTCGACTATGTGTAATGTATACTTTACGCATGCCTGCGTTGAAAGAAATGTTTAATAAAGTAAAATAAATATTAAGCTTTTTTTCTTTTTTGGTAAATTTTGATAGATCATAATTGTTCTTTATTTCATAAATTACGGTTTCATATTTTTAATTTTATAATTTCTGCATACCATCTTACCAAATTTAAACTCATGATCTATAATCCGGAATCACCGAAGTCCCGACGAGTCCGGATTAAAGACTTTTGACTGTATATATAATTCGTTTGAAATCTTTCTATGTAATGTTTTACAACAGTCTGAGTAAAACTTAAAAGAACTACTACAATACATTTATTATCTTGAGACATGATATGTTTTAGAGGAAATCATCATTAATTTACTCCCTCCAAGCTTCAGTTGAAATACTGTAATACAGTCAAAAGTCGTTAATTTGGACACCGATAATCTGGAATGATCTATAATCTGGACCTCAAAGTTAAAATCTTTCTGCGCATGCACCGCATTGACGCATGCGCATAGGCGTTTTACGCGTGCGCGCAAGACATTTACGACTGCGCATATGCGTCTGTGCGAGTGCAGAATACGTTTTCGCGTGCTCGTTTAATGTATAATGAACGGTATAAGCTAAAATTATCTAATTATCTATTTCAGTTAATGTTGATGATTGCGTTGTTCCTTAATCTTCGAATTGGATCCGGCTTATTATTTTTTGCAGACTGTAAGAGCAATTTTATAAAAGTAAGCTTGAACTTTCGATTATGTCAAATAAAATTTCCGATGCTGGAGCTGCCAAAGGATCTAGAAAACGAAAGTATGTTTCGATGTCCATCAAACAAAAAACGAATTGCTACAAAAAATGGATAAAAGCATATCCTTCGTTTATCTAACCGTTCCGAAATCTGTTTATCAATTTCACGCTGCTCTGCGCGGGGGGGGAGGACATCGCAGCGCGCAATCAACTGGAAGTTGATCTGTCAACAGTATCATTATCTTCAGGTCAGATGTTTTTATTTTATTCGGCTTATAATTCCTTACTAAATGTAGTATTTAATCTCGATCTACTCCGTCTTTGATTTGATTTAAATCAAATTCCTCGTCATTATAAATATCACGAATACAAATCAAATAGTTTTGTGGTTGCAATTTTCTAATTTCGGCTATGCATAAGGTATGCTTTACACATGCGCGCGTTGAAAGAAATGTTTAATAAAGTAAACAAATAAATATTAAGCTTCTTTTTTGGTAAATTTTGATATAGATCATAATTGCTCATTATTTTATAAATTACGGTTTCATATTTTTAATTTTATAATTTCTGCATGCTATCTTACCAGATTTAAATTGATGATCTATAATCCGGAATCGCCGAAGTCCCGACAAGTCCGGATTAAAGACTTTTGACTGTATACTTCTTGAAAAAGGAGTAGATTAGCTTAGGGTAATAATCAACAAATTATCAATCAGGAGTGGCCAATATGTTATGGCTGTATATTTAATAATTTGTATGATAAATTTTTCCTTTTACGGTATTGTAACTACATAACTATATAACCAGTTCAAATCGTAAAGCGTAGGTAACTGCAGTGCAATTTTCAGGACACAGTTTTAACCTTGTCTTTTGTCTATGTTCATGATTTGGAACTTGGTGGTGGCATAAAACAAGTAAAAAAGAAGGTAGCCACAAAGCGTCTTTCCAGGAGAAAAGCATAAGCAAAAGTGTTGCAGCAATTCAGAGGAAGAAGTGATGGAGTCAGAAAGTTTCAGTTAAGAGTTTAAAAAGTTTTGGTGTACAATTATTTAAAGATTGGGCAAAAGTATCTGCATTAAGCATTATCTAGGATCGCATGATTAATTTCTATGACCCAGTTTATAAGCACTAATTTTAAGATGGAGAGAGGAAGTCTCCAAATTAAATGAAAAATAAAAGAGGTTATAGCCAATTAAAATTAGAAGTTTGCTTTCATATTGTTACAAAATGTCTAGGTGTGATAATATAGCTTGCCTATAAAGCAGGTTTAGGGTTGCCATAAAATGCCAAGGGAAGGCAAGGTGACCACATTTGACGATAAAATTGGTGATATGCCATAGATGGATAGAGAACCTTCTGGAATGAATTGTTACTGGTTTAGCCCAGCGTGTTCTCGAACACAAGCCAAAAGCTATATAAACCCTGCTGATACGCGGAGAATCAGTCAGTCCGTGTGGAGTCCATCGAGTTGATAGTCAGTCAGTGAGTGCCGAGTTGGTCGTCGAGGGCACTGAAAGAGTCTCTTATTGGATCGCGGTTAGTGCATCATCGAGAGAGTGGTTGAGGTCTGGGAACAACTGAACCGAGGAGTCGGGAGCTGTACTCTAGTATATCGTTGAGTGCATTGTGAGTTGTAGCCTGGAGAGTATCAAGAGTACGTGGAGTTCTGAGAACGACCAAGCAGAGTCGGGAGCTGTACTCTAGTGCTTTGCCATTAAGCTGTCTCCACCGTGATAGCCTGATAACCTGGAGGCTGTGTCGCTGATCGTGTCAGCGTGTTTATAGTAGTTCATCGACAACTGTAAAATTTTTGAATTGAAATTTTACCTTTATTGGGAAATCCCCCCCCCACTTTCAATTTCAGAACATTGAATGTTTTTATAAATGACACATGTAAAGGTGAGAGTTTCTTTTTTTAATTTTCTCATGTTCTGTTATTAATCATTTATAATAACACTATAACTAATTATAACTGAATACTTTATGATAACAAATTTGTTTGTATACCTTAAGAATACTCAAAATGCTTAATTTGGTAACATTCTTTCACAAAATTAAAATATGTACTTTATTCAAGAACATAAAACTTCAGCTTATCTTTATTCAAGCTGAAAATATTATCTATTTCTGTTCAATCTAAATATTAAAATGCTTTCATGCAACATAATGCATCTTAAGAAAATAAATAAAATTTAGGTTATAAATAACTAGTTCTTAATTTAGTCTGCAAACCTCAAGCTTTGATTACACGACAGTATGACCTTAATATGAAATACATTGTTTTTTAACTTTTCTAAGAACAGAGTCCAAGCAAAATCATTTTATCTGTTTCAGATATAACTCAAAAATATAATTCCTGTTAGCATTTACTCAAGCACTCTAAAACTGATGTGTTCTTAAAAATAAATATCCTGATTCAAATTAATTTGAGTCAAAAACAAACTTCCTTATTTCATTCAATAATTTTTCTTCAAGACCGTGCACCGTGGTTGCAGACACCAATAACCTTATGTAATCAGTCAACTGCTGTTTATAAATGGTGTCAGAATGCACTGATAGATGCAGTTTCTGTTATAATTTTAAATTTTGCTAAGAAGTAAGAGAAACTTCACTATCTTTTTTTATGTTGAGAGGGACTGTTGAATAACTTATGATAGTGTCTTAGCCGGGGGGGGGCAATCTTGTGTTAGATGAAATACAGTTTATTTTGCCGGCACTTTACTTCTTGACATACATGTCACATAAGAAAGGAAAATAAGTAATTTGCTGCTTTTTCATACACAATTTCATAATTTGAGGCTGTAAAAGTGATTGATGGGCAAAATCGCTTAACTCTACCTACATGTTTGTACTGGAAATGAAGTAGAAACGTAATTAACTGAGTAGGCAAACATGCCAACAATAAGGTTTAATCTCACTAGTAAACCCTAGTGCCATCTAGTGAGGGAAAGAAGTACCTTAAACTAAATTCCTAACAACTACATTTTACTGGAAACAGAAAGCCAATGTTCATCCAAAGAAAAAAAAGGTATTTTTATCAAAGATCATTCAAAAATTATGTTCATGGCTCTAACAAGAGGAGCCAGTTACTGAATCACCATCTTTTAAATTGTCTGTTTTTACTATGAATAAAATAATAAAGAAAGATATATATCAAAAAATATATATATATATATGTATATAATGCTCCTTGTCTTTTTCTAAAACATGTGGGAAAGCACAAGATTAGATGTAAAATTATTTAACAAAATCACTAATTTTGTGAAAACTAGAAATTTATGATGATGATAATGAAACATTGCTATAAGTTGATTATTATAGCAAAGAATAATGAATTTGTTTTTAATGTAGCTGTTCTGCAAGGTGTTATATTCCATGTAGAATATTTACATTTGGTAATGAATAAACTGCATTTCATACACAAATTTAGTTTTGGTGCAATAGTCATTTCTTGCCTGAAAGCATCTGCCATTATGATGTACATGTATGGAAAGTTATTAAAACAGAATTTTCTTTTTGATTTCTAAAACTGTACTTTCCTTTTGAAAATGATTTCTAATTTTTTTTTTTTTTTTTTTTTTTTTTTTGTAATTCAAAATTTTTACACATATTCTAGAAGCATTATTTATTATTTTTAGGTCGGATATTAGATGGCCTTTTAGTTATGAGGAAAATTGAAAATGTGCCTACAGGACCTAACAATAAACCAAAAATACCTGTTATAATATCACAATGTGGAGAAATGTGATTTAAGTAACCTATATTATTGTACATTTTGTTAATAAATTTTTATTTTTTTGTAATTTGTTTCATGCTATCATTATTGAGTTATTACAATACAAATGTGGATGTCTGAATGTGGATGTGCATTATCCGGAATGATAAAATAGCCAGACCTTGAAACCACTAGCAATTAAAAAATTTTCTTTCCTATTGTGAATTTTAGGAATGGGGAAGAGCTCTATTATCTATACATATAATAGATATATATATATTATATATTATTATTACCTAGTAATATATCTTATTATCTATATATACAGGGTGGTTTAAAATTATATGTCAAAAATGTAAAGGCAGGTAGAGGGGACCTGAAGAAACAGATGTCGTATAGGAACGTGTGTGCAGTAATGCCGCATTAAAGTACTAGCATATAAAACAGTATGAATCATAGTTAACTGAGAAGACAAGTAAAGACAAAGGAAAAAATGTATTAACAGTTTACAATAAATGCTTGAAAGAGTGGCCACCAACAGCAATACAAGATTCACAGTGGCGGCGCATGGATTGGCATACAATAGAAAAGACATCAGGCATGTCGAGCACATATCCAACAGCAACAGACAAGTGGGTAATAAGATCTTCTGCAAATGTGGCAGGACTCCCATACATGAGGCCTTTAATATGATCCCAAAAGAAGAAATTCAAACAGGTTAAATCAGGAGAATGCAGTGGACAGGGAACTGGCCTTCCCATCCTATACAAAGCTGGCCATAGACTGTGTCTAGGTGATTCCTCATGTTCTGGTTGAAGGATCCCATGAAGCCACATTCGTCCGCGAAAAGCTGAACGAACATCGACCAAAATTTCAGGTAAGAACAACCTGTAGAATCGCTCCTTGTACATTCTTTGAGCAGTTAATTTATTTCCTTTTTGCAGCCCCATATATGAAATGCATATCGGCGAGCTCCACATTGGTGTAACAATGCATGCTGCTCAAGTTCCGTGCAGAAAATCAAGAATCCAGCTAGCTCATCACTTTTATCCACCGTACTCATCAGCACTTTCTACCAGTTCAATGCGACACTACAGCACACTTATTCCTATATGAAATCTGTTTTTATAGGTCTCATTTTATGGGCTGGTAAATTATGTAAAAATAGGTAAGACAATATTGAATGTCCTTTAAACCAAATAATTGTGCTTGGGTATTTACAGTTTCGCATATACTGCTAACCGCCTGATTTAGGAACTGTCAGCAGCCTAATAAAAGTTGCTGTTTTATTGGGAATATCCCTAAATCAATGTTATATTGTAATTAAACTTTAAACCTAATGAAATGCTATATTAAGGATGTTTTTTAATTCAACTTAAAAATTTACCTCTGTTATAAAATGCTTAAAATTTGTGGTAGGGTTTACCAATTATGTATTTTGTCATGTTTTAAAACTGGAGATGTTACAAATATTGCTCAAAACAAAGCTTTAACAGAGATATGATTCATTTTTAATTTTAACAGGAATACTGTCATTTGATGAATGTGTAAAAAATAGTCTTGCTTATGTAAAATGCCATTAGTTATTTTTTAATCCTCATTTGTTCAATAGTTGGTGAAATTTGTACCTCTTTTAATCCAAACAATCTTCTTTTTAGAAGCTAGATGACATTGTATTTGATATCTGTGTTCGTGAATTTTTTTACAGCTTAAGATTTAGAAATTTCAGTGAGTGAATGATAGTTTACAATGTAATAAATGCATATGAATCAGAATTAAGGAGTGGTTTAAATTGTGAAATTGAAAGAAAATATCAGATGGTTAAGTGTGATATACAGTTTAAAGAATATTAATTTTTTTAAAATATTATATGTCATGAAATCAAGGATAATCACTAAATTGAGGGTTTTTTCATATTAATAGTATATGTTTGTAACTAGACCAATTGAAAAATTATTAAATCAAGGCTATTGTTAAATCAGTGCTGAAATGTATTTATTAATTAAAATTACTGAACATTAAATATCTTAACTTTAAAGTCAGAAAGGTAAAATATGTTGCTGATATATAATGATGTTTGAATAATTTTATGCATAAAAACTATCATTACAGTAAAAATATGATAATCTGATATACCTTTCATTTCTGCCATAAGATGATACTATTAGCATTTCACTGGATCAGCTGGTGAAGTGTTGAATACTTTAGGGAAATTCAATAGAGAATATAATACTGGAGAAATAAAAATATTTAAAATCAACAGAAAATTTATATAAAGTAGAATCTATGAAGTAGGTTACATTAAAATTTTACTTCCTCCTCTAGCAAATATCATAATTTCAATGCAAAAATTTATTTAATAATAAATGTGACTCATTTTATAGGTTTATTGAATTACTATATGATTTTTTTTCATACCTGAATACATTCAATGGAAGAGGGGGGAGAATCATTTTGCATCACTATACAATTTTAATGCAATTATCTGGCATATTTAACAATCTGATATTATTAATGTTAGCATTAGAGACTGTAGTGTCCCAAAGTTCATGTTCTTGTAACAATGGCCCAACATGATGCTGTTGTAAGACTTGACTACTTACCTCACAAAGCATACACATTGTTTATAACTCTACGTCTTACAAGACCTTCTTGAAGCAAAAGGGACAGAGTATGAAACTGGCAGTGAACCCATACTATAATACCACATATGCCAAATGTAATCATTCTTGAATCAAAGATATGTTGAACCTCCTATATTAACTGCTTCATCTAAGTAGAAATGAGTCTCATTGAGCTATGGCAGTATTTCTTAAAGTGTGGGTCGTGACCCTAAATATTTGAGCGTTTCTTGAGCTGTGTATCACGAAAATTTAATTCAGGTATACATGAATTCAAAGAAACATTAGTTTTAGTTGCAATCCCTTCATTATCTTTAATATATTGTATTTTCTGTACAGCGCAATTAAAAATCGTAATACTAAGCAAATTGTGCTGTAAATTATATTTACAGATTCAAAAATCATAAATGCCTCATATTTCAGCATACAAGCTATTTTAGAATCAAAGTATTCCGCAAATGCACATTGTGAAATGTCCTGCACCACACAGGTAAGCCGAGAATAAGGTTATAGGTGCTGCGACTGTGTAATGATAATGTCTTTCCAGTATAGTTCACTTCTTCTGTTTCATCACAATAAATATGTAAATAGGAAGAAATATGCAATATTATATTTTACTGTTTAAATCAACGAAGGCTAGTTATTTGAATAACTATATGATACTGTGATATATTTTTTAGGCTAGGTTGAGCGCTTATTTGTATGCGCTATTATTAGCACTTTAGGGAAATCCCAGGAACCAGGCATACGAAATGCTAAGCAAAGATCCAAATTTAGAGAAATGCAAGAAGAAAAAATAAAATGAGGCCAGGCCTCGTGATTAAAATGAAGTTTTGTCAGTGAGAAACAGAATTTTTCCTCACAGAAATCGAAATTCTTCTAACAACTAGGATTGAAAATGGCGAGCAGATGGTGTATGCATTATGTCCTGAACCTAGTAGAAAGCTGGGAAAAGAAACTCAATCAGGAATGTGAGCGTTTATCAGGTGATGACTATGCCAAATTATGGAGCTGAAGAAGTCTGTCAGCAAAAATTATGAAACTAGAATGAATTAATTTGAACAAAGTGGAACTTTTTGTGATTTTACAGGTCAAGAAATATGTATTATGCCATTTTATTTATATTTTGGGGTAATATTTTTTACTCATAGATAAATGGTTGAATTTGAGTAACAAAGGTAATGCACGCAGTTAACAATACTACAGTCTTTTCAAGCAGAATCTAGTAATCATAAAGTGGCATCTAAGATGCAAAATGAATATATAATGAGATGTGAACAACCTCTTTATTTAATTTGGAATAACATTTTGGCTATGAAGAGCATGAAACATCAAAATTAAAAAAGCATCTTGAAATCAAGCATGCAACGACTTGTTCGTAAAGAATATTTCAAATGACTGTTAAAAACTTCAGATAAAGAACAATAATATTTTGTAAAATTTATGACTGTTAACGAAAAATATTTATTCCTGTCATAAAGTCTCATATTTGCTTTCTAAAAATAAAATGCTGTACACCATTGAAGAAGTTCTTGTGCTACCAACAATTCACTCATGCTGATTAGCACGCAGTGTATCAGTTTCAGAGATTTTCTAACAGGGACTTGCATAGCATGCCAGAATATACAATAGCAGAGTAAAGTTCTATCGTAGCAATATTTTGAGAGTACTTTAGTAAAATTGTTTTCTCCCTTCACGTGTCTATAGTGGCTGGCATATTCAGTAGATATATACAACAAATCAAATGAAGCAATTTTGCTATAGCCTGTGCCACCATATCCAAATAGAGTAAACAAATATCATAGCCACACGCACATACAGTAAGCTGTATGTATGAGTGTATAAAGTCAGCAGGTATGTCATATATAGAGGAAAAATATAAGAGTCACTATAGTAGCAGAAGCTATCAAGAATGAAAGTCAGTCAAAAACTTCCATGGCGAGCAATGGTTAAGGAAGAGGACACTAACAGAACGAAGAATACTGCCTAGCAAGCTGCTTACAGCCTGAATACAATAGAATTAAATGCAAGAAAGTACAACATGCATGCAAAAATACAAGATAATTATATAGGACATAAGCAATTTAAGAAATTTATCACTAGACTAAGAAAGGCCAAAATATACTATTCTTTTAATTATTTATGTATTACATTATTTATTCAGCATTGGACAAAACAACTGTGTCATATACCTTTATGAAGAAAGCTTCTATGAAGAATTGTTATTTTGTTGTTTTTTTGGAAGAAAATACAAGAGGGGAAGACATATAGCTGACGAATTTGAACGCTTAGAGGAGAAAAATTGCATTGGGATATGCACAGATGGTGCAAAAGCGATGCCTAGCAAAATTATGAGTTTTAAATCATTTATTAAAGCTGCTTGTAATGATCATGTAACTTTTGCACACTGCTTAGTTCACTAAGAGGCCCTTGCAGCAAAAAAAAAAAAAAAAAAAAAAAAAAAAAA